TTGCCGCACTCCATCGTGTCCCCCTTCTTGAACAGCACTTTGATGGTGGCATCCTTCCACTGCTGTGGAACGTCCCCAGTCTGCCACACGTCCACGACAGTGGCCTGGAATTCCTGGAGGAGACCTTGATCTCCGTCCAGGAAAAGCTTGATCAGCTCAGCCGGTAGGTCGTCCGGCCCGACGGCCTTTCTGTTGGCCATTTCCCGTACCGCTTCCTCAACCTCAAGTAGAGATGGGATGTCGTCGAGTGGCACGCACGTGGGCCACCGCTTGACCTTGTCAGCCGCATGCAGGTCGATGGTCGGCGACTTGGTGTTGAGAAGCTTGTGGAACCACCGTGCCCACCGTTGGCGAATAAACGTGGGGTCCCGAAGTACCTTGCCGTCCTCGTCCTTGATGTTCTGAGAGGTGAACGACAGCTTACCTTCGACGTCGATCATCTTTAGGCGCCTGTAGAATCCCGCCTGATCCCCCTCGCGGCTCTTCTTCTCGAGCTGCCGTACATAGCCCTCGAAGAACGTTTCCAGTGCTCTCCACCTCGCGATGCTGCGCTTCTTCCGCGCCGCCTTGAGCATCGCCTTCAGGGTCGCCTCGCAGGCGCTGTTCTTTGAGGCCCCACGCAGTTGCTGCTAGGTCGCCTTCATCTCCTTAGACCCTTCAGAGATCTCGTGCTGCGCTTCGCTCGTGCACCAACCTCTCTGCCCTCGTGCGCACCCCGCCAGCGGCGCGGTCTCAGCAGCGGCCGACATCACCGTAGCCGTCAGCTCGGCGGCGGTCTCTCCCGTTGGCCGCCTGTTGTGACAAATGTTGGATGCAGCTTGCTTCCGGCGCAGATTTCGGACGGTTTTCATAGGCTGCTGCGACCTTCGATATTTCACCTCCAGCAGCAAACCTGAACGTACCAGCACGCACGACGCATCTTCATGGTGTCCTTCCTCTACTGGTGACAAAAGAATGCGACACCTAACCCCGGCGGGAAGATTGTTTTCTTTCTTTGCATAGGATTAGGAAAAAGAGCCAGCGTCACAACCCCTTCTCTGCACCCCCTTGAGGATTTCCGCGAAACCAAATTTGATGATGTGTCACAATCTCCTGTTGCCGTATATGCAGGCCTAACCCTAAATTAACTCCCTGGATGGGACAGAGCTTCAATGCGCAAGCTGTCTCTTCCATGACCAGGTGAATGGCGGCCACACGGCAAACGGCGAGGCAATTCAACAGTGCTCTCTCTGAGTTTTCAACATTCTAGTTATTTATCTAGTATCAGCTGCTGCACGCCTGGAAGAGGATTAACCCTCTGATGCACGGCAGTTCATAGTGTTTGTAATGGAGAACCAAATGGTATCGCTGCCACAGCAGTAGATTTAACGGGTCTCCGCGCAGGCAATTGCTTGTATGCCAGCAGCCGGGACGACTACCATGCCGAAGAGGGCTCGATTTCTCCGCTACTTTCAACTTCTTGCTGCTCCCGTTCACGACGTTGATCCAACGCGAACCACGACAGGGTGGTCCGACATCCTGCGCTCGCGGTGCCACACTTGTCCTTGGCTAACATCGGGCGGTTGGATTTTGAGGGCCTGAAGGCAATGGGCTGCAAGGGGGTCATCTTCGATAAGGTTACAGCATGATTGACCGCGAAGCGCGCCCCCTCCTCGCCACACAGTAGGTTGCGTAAGATTTCACACCCCCCGGGGCACATTTTCAACCTTGATTACTCCACGACGAAGAGGATCAAAGGATACGTTTTAGGCAAGCTCTCGTCGAGACCGTTCTAACGCCGCCATTTTCGGAGCCGTCACTCTGTTTCAGCCGCAGAGTAGTCGACCTTTGAAGATAGGTTCCCAGGGTGTGATACATGGTATCTTATGCAGCCTACGGCAAGCTTTACCCCAGCAATGGGTGGTCTACAACACGTTAGGGCGGTGAAAAGTTCGGCAAGCACAGGCAAGCAAGAGTCTGTCTGTGTCACGCGAGCATCGATCGCCACCGTGCTGACTCTTTCGGCCGCCCTCGACTATTGCACTGCTGTTTCCCTTCATGATCAGGACAACACGTTGACCGCTCCGTACGAGGACACCGTGCACCCCCTGGTAGAGGAAGGCCTGAAGCGGTGCATGGAGGTCTTCGAGGGGAGCGTGTGCATAATGTCCAACTCGGCGGGAACGAGGTATGTGACTTGTGACGTCTCCGCTGTCTTGTCTCTTTGGTTCGGTCGGATTGCGATGACGATGAAAACATTTACCGTCCTGAAATCAGCGTTGCCGCCGATCGGAGGTTGGCACTGGCACAAGAGCAAGAATAGCGTCTGAGAAACAAGAAGAGCACGGCAAGACGCCCTGCGGTTGCGGTCAAACTTGCGCGTGAACAGTTTTACGCGCGCATTCGTTTGTTGTCCTGTTCGCAGGGACGATCCAGACTATGTACACGCCATCCGCATCGAAACGGCACTGGGGATTCCGGTCTTGAGGCACGACGAGAAGAAACCGGGAGGGATAGCGGACGTTTTAGCGTTTTTCAAAGGGAAGGATCCTGAGGGAGGAACTGTGAGTCGTGGTGATGATCGATCTTATCTTATCATCTCTATTACTATAGTTGCTCGTAGCTCAATTCCCCGATGCAGGAGCGCACGTGGATACGCCGTTAGACAGCTCTGGGTAGCGTGCTCCATGGCACTGTCTGTTGCTGCGGATTGTCTGTGCTTGGGACCGCTGTGTCGATCGCGAAGCTCCGGAAATTGTACCTCGAATTGTGCCGAGCTTAACTCCTCAATACGTACGCATCGCTCATGCTGTACCTACGTGACCGTTTTTCTGACGAGGGAGGTAGCGACATCCCTCCTCCGTTGTTTGAAGCAGAAAACGCCCGTTGTGTCCCTCCGGTAGGTTGTCTTTTCTCCCAAGATCGCATGTGTCGGGTGTCGTGCCTGTACATGTAACGCTACATTGCCCCGACCACGTCAGGTACGGCTGGACGAGCTGTGCTTTGTGGGCGACCGCCTCCTTACGGACGTGGTTTTCGGCAACCTGCACGGCATGCTCACGGTGCACACCCAGCCGCTGACGCTCAAGGGGGACAACAGGCCAGCGGCTGTCTTCCGCTACTTGGAGCGGAAGGTACGCCGTACAATCAAATGTCCACAAAATTGCTGCGGGATGTATCGGGCAAGCGGGAGTGCCAACCAATCATTTGTTCGTCAGTGACGGTCACGCCACTGCTGCGGTGATGGCACCACATGCTACCTGTTCTGCGAAGCCTGACGGGGACGGGGATGGGAAAGGCGTGGACGCCCCGGTGGAGGAGGGGCCATGTATGCGGACGCCTTAGCCTTGATGTGTTTTGTTGCGCGTGTTGTTTCTCGGGCTGCCCATTTCATTACACCTCGTTCGTGAAAGATTTTTTTTTGAAAATGTGCGGACGTCTTTTTCTTTATATCGTGCCTTCTTTTCTTTCCACTCGTTCGTTCGAAAACTCCCACTGCTCTTGAATAACTTATCAACGCGGCAGGTGTTTATGGGCTTTTTCCACCAGACTTGTTCGGTAGAGCCGCAAGCACATCGCCTGTGCCCCGAGGGGGCGAGAGTCTTGGACCGAGAGGGGGGTACTGCCGCGGAACCCGAACCAACACCTGCTTTGAATGAGATGTAGCAAGCGTTTAATCTCTTGGAAAAATGCTACCGCTATAGGAAGCCTCGGTTTCAGTAGCGGTCCCTCACGTTGGCTTGAGATCGCTGGGCATTGTTTTTTTCGCATATTTTCTCTTTTTTCTAGTGCTTTTATGGCTCTGTACTTGCCCATATATCCATGTGTTGTGATGTTTGTACAGTTTATCGAAAGGGCGTGGTTGTTTTCAGATGTGCTTGAGATGTTTGAATCTATTTGTCGTCGCAAGATGGATTACGGCCCCGCTTTAAGGCACTGTTTTCGCGGGTGATGTCAAACCAGCGGTTTGACGTTGCTTGGACGCCTGTAGTAGTTGTTTTGCCGCAACACACGTCTCGCCGCCTCTCCCAAGAGGAAAAGGGCACCATTGAACCTGGTATTCTGTGTAGGCGAGATGTTTTGCGGTATTGGAGGTCGTCATGACATGGGAAGCAAGAAAGGATTCTTCAGTTGTATGACCGGTATTCATACGGTAGGCCATTGTTCAAGAGTTCCAATGTAAACAGCAAAACATTCCATGTACACAACGACCACTTCTGCCAATGGCATTCCACCGTCCCCATGCTCATGTCACGTTTCATTTTTGGTTAGGCGGGATGCGTCGCACGTGCCTCACTGCTCGTCCTCCCCGCTCTCGCACGCCCCATCAACCCTGTCACCTTGTTGACTTATCGTGGGACCGCTAACTCGTCCTCTCCTATCTACTAGTGAGTTGACCACGCCAGGGTTTCCCAAAACGGAGGGATTCGCTGTACAAGCGTTGCCTCCATGGGTTAGAACCTCCGTAGTGTACAACACGCCCCACGGCAAACGTACGAACGTCATGCCATCGGCACGAATTCGCAAGAGGATGCCCCTCCCCATGCAAGTGTTGACAGGAACTCCCAAAGCCCGACCGATAGCGTCAACCCTCCCCGACTTGGCCACAGGTCCAGATGATGCCTCCCTCCGAGCTTTCGGCAGGCGCTTTGTCTGCTTCGCGCGGACGTGTCCGTCCTCGTCGGCGCGTGGAGCCAAATTTGCGCTCCGCCCTGTACCTCTTGGTTCCTCCGTCCCGAACGGCGACGTTCCGGTGCACCGCGGGGGATGGAAGGTTTTCTTGTTTACAAACTTCTGGTCGAAATCGCTCGGCAAAGCGTACGCTGGACCCGGGCTCTCTCGCCCTTTGAGCGGTATCGAAAGACGCTGCGATGGCGCCGTCGACGGTCGTGATTGCCGGTCCCCTCCTCGTACCATTCCGTTCTTCGCCCCGCTGGTCTTCTCGTATGATGCCGCCCGGCCTTTGGCAGATGCCACCATAGCGTTCACCGTCGCAGCTTTGCTGCACTTGGTTGGTCGCCTGGGACCAGCGAAGCTTGTCCCGCGCTCCAACGGAGGACGGATGCTATACTGCCCGGGGCCTGGCGTGTCTGTTGCTTTACACGCTCCTTTCCGAGTTAGGTCGCGGTTCAGGTAACGTGTTTCGCGGAAACCAGGCGATGTTGCCCGCACCTCGCGCGAGTGTATCGGGCCTCGACGTTGTGAGTCGGGTCCCCGCCGAGGGGTTGGTCGGTCCCACGGTGATGCACAGTTGCCTTTGTTCCCCACGTGTATTGGCCCGGTGTTCGTGGCAACGTCGCCCCACGCCTGGAGCCCCCCTCGCGTATTGACGCCGTTCAACCTAGTTCACACACGAGCTGCTTTGGTTCAGGGATTGTTCGAAGAGTGTTTGTAGAAGCCACTGCTGGCCGCGCTAAAGTTGTACACGGTCCGATGGGTGCAAGCTCAAACGACTTCGCGTTTCGGTCTCACCTACGCACACACATCAGCAAGGGGCACGTTCCGAGACATTACAACGTGCTGCCGTCTGTTCCCCACAACTCACGCACCATCGTGGGGTAGACTCACCACATACATCGTGGGGCTGTGCTGGGGCGAGCCGTCCCCCGCCTTTTCGACAGCCACGCCCGCTCTTCCTTCGTCGGAATCTGTGCTGCCTTCACCGGGTTAGGAGGACGCGGCATGGTTGCCTCGCCCCAAGTCACCTTGGCGTTGAAACTCCTACTGCTCGGCATCCGGCCCGGCTTGTCGGACTTGTTAACTCGGTTCCAATGCTTGGGCGGCCCGAAATCCCATGCCTCATGGGGGTAATATACCGCCGGGCCGGGACTCTGTGCCCCTTTGGCTTCTCGTTCGTGGCTTGGTGTGAGGCATCGTGTTGACGGGCTGAGGTAGCGGCTCTCGAGGGTGTTGACGACTGCGGCAGGTGCCTGAACGGCCAAGACGCAGCACAAGCGGTGACCACGCGTGTCAATTGTTGGTATTGTGTTCAAAAGGGCGAATAGTAGTCGCTGTGGCAGGGGAAACGCCGAAAGGACTGTTTTCCGTCGTAGCTGCAGTTTCGAGGGCGCGAAGTAGTTTTCACCAGTGAAGCGAAAGAAAATTCACCTTACACACCCCGGTCGGTCTGTGCGATGAACCGAATTTCTTGTACACGGCAGTGATCTACTATGTTCCCCCTCACCTTTTCTTTGACGGCGCGCTCGCCAGGCTGTGTAGTGTATGTCGCCGGGCTGACGAAAGCATTGCCGGCAGACAAGCTCGTGAGTCCCTGTTTCACAACACGGCACCAGTTCCCAACAGGATGAAAAACACGCGTTCCGAACTCCACCTCTTAGTTGGCACGGGGCAGGTTTTCAAACCTCGATTCCTCAACAGGAGAAAGCGTGGTGGAAACAAACAAGGATGCTGTTGGAACCGTCTCGTCGAGAGTTTTCCGAAATACTTATCGGTGGAGTAATCGAGTATTGTACATCAGTTTAGACGGAGTGGTATGGTATGTTGTCAATTCAATACACTATTCAGTGAATGGTCTGCCGGTCTGTAGTCAGGAAGGCAAATGAACCGCATTCCATCCAGCACAGCAGTACAGTCTAGTTTACGTAGTTTGTTGTTGTCGTTGTTTCTCAAAATGGGGAGCCCGTGGTCTCAAAACCCGGCACATACGACGCCGCGGGAAAACAAAACAAAACAAAACAATAGGGTACAAACCACTCGGAAAAAGAAAACACAATGATAAAAAGGAAACAACGGGTACTGCACCGACCGTTCGGGAAAAGAGCCCTCGGACACCGATCAAAATAAAACAAAACAAAAATAACAGAAAAATAAAGGAGGACGCTTCCCACACCCGCCCAAAGAAAAAATCAAAGGGTAACGTACCAGTACCAGGCACTATGCACCAGGGCATGGGAGTAACGGAGAAAACAAGACAAAGAGGCGGCAGATGGGCAGACAGCCAGATGTACAAAAACAAAGCAACAGCAAAGCGAGATCAAGGTACCCATCGCAGCAGAGTAGGCAGGGAGGACATGAAAAAAAAAGAAACACAGCACAGAGGCCGAAGGCAATACAAAGGACATACATAAAGGAGTATAGCATACGGCAGGGAGGGAAACAGGGCGCAACTACATCAGCCGGGTACATAGTTCGCCACAAGTCCTGCCTCGGCCGCCCTACTCGCTTCTACAGCAGTGCCCGGTCGCCGTTTCTTCCCCCCCACCGCCGCTTCCCCGACTCTCTTTCTCCTCGGTCCTGAGATGGCCGTACTCTCTGCTTCTGCTTCCCTCGCGCGCTGGCGCTTCGCGGACGCTTCCCCCTCCTGCCTGTGCCATTTCCTCATGAACCATGCCGCCCCGTCCTCGACCTTGTTGTGCCACACCTCCGGGTCCTTGGCGCTCTCTTTCCATGTACCCCCTTCCTTTTCGTCTCCCATGTTGAAGGCGACAAGGTCCTCTCCTAGACGAGGCACCCAGTCGCTCTCCTGCCCGCCCCGGTATCCCACGCCCCCCGCCATC